AAGAGCAGGCCCGTGTTGCTACGGCCAAAGCTTCAGGTCCTCTCTGCATCCAGACGGAGGCCAAAAGCTCTCTCTGCCAAGTGCCGAAAAGATCTTCTCGGCTTCTGAGAAACGGAGACCAGCTCAGCAGGCGAACGAGCCCGAGGCCTGCTTCGGAAACCTGATGAGCTGATGGCACAAGTGACTTTGCAGTTCCTTAAAATAGCACAGCCCCGGTTGCTACGGCTCTGCAGCAGCAGCAGTAGCAGGTCTGCAAGGAGAGCCGTGGAGGAAGGAGAACCCGAAAGGGGGGAGAAGCCCCATACGTGGGGCTATACCACATGTGGTTGTCTCTCCCCTCACGGGCTGGTTGGTAGGCAGGCAGGAGGTCTCTGCAAGGAAAGCCTGGCCGTCGGTCTGGAGGTCCTCAGCCCCTGGCTGGAAACTGCTAAGAGACTGGAAGAGGGCTGGGTTTCCAGAGTCGCAGCCCACCGTGGCTGCCTCCTGGGACCTCAGAGGGCTGCGTCTGCCTTCCAACCTGTCCCCTGTCCCTCCCCCAAACTCTCCCAGTTGGGGGGGGGGGAAGACGGATGGACCAAATATTGTACTTTCTAAAGCAAGGGTGGACCACATGTGTCCGATGGACTACATGTGGCTTACCAGGGACCAGGCTGAAGCCCTACAAGGCCCAAGGCCCTCTGGCATCCTGACACCATTAACAAAAAAAAAAGTTTAAGAAATGGGGGGGTTCAGAATCCCAAAAGGTCTCTCAAGGGGGTGTAGGAGCACCTTTTACTATTTAGAGGGCCTCCCAAAATCTTCTTGCCATCGGCACACCAAAATTTTAATTCCAAAAAATATTAGAGAGGCCACTAGGGGGCATAAGTGGACCTTTTGAGTTAAAAAACAATTTTTTGTAGTGTGGGGAGGGAAGATTCAGGGTGGGATCGTGGGAGTAAGGGGTGGCGCTCCAAAATCTAGGGAGAGGCATGAGTTGTCTCTGACTCAGGGGGCTGTGATGGGCCACGCCAGACCGTTTTCTGATGGCGCACCCTGTTTTCTTTTCCAAAACAGGAAGTGACTAGGCTGTCACTGTCAGTTGAAGAGGCATGAGTTGCCTCTGAGTCAGGGGGCTGTGATGGGCCACGCCAGCCCGTTTTCTGATGGCGCACCCTGTTCCTGAAGGTTTTTCTTTTCCAAAGCAGGAAGTGACTAGGCTGTCACTGTCAGTTTTGATAAGAAGGTCCCTGTATGCCTTAATTGGGGAGGGGGGAGCATTCCTCTGCCATGCTTCTGTTGTCAATTTGAGGCCCCTTTCCTCCCTCCAAGAAAGAGTCTTTTATGGGGACATAAGAGTGTGGGGTGGGGCACTCTTGTGCACTCTGTAGCATTGAGACAGAACACTTTCCCTGCACAAGGTTCTGAATTCTAGCTGTCAACGTGTCTGATGGTCTTGGCTCCCCCCCCCCCGATCTTAACAGCAACCTGAGCTGATGATTCTTCTTATCATCATCAATTTGGACTGCTGGGTTGTCGAGAACCCCCTCCTAGAAACCTCAGCTCAGGCCTCACTCCCTTACCGATGAAGCTCAGGTCCCATGAGATTGACATATGCAGAGAGCAGATGGAGGAACTGAGCATCTGATGCCCACGCCCACGTCGGTGCCATGCTGAGCCCGCTGGTGTCGTCTCCTCCTGCCTGGGGAGGGCGAGGCGAGGGGGGCTCACCCCCTTGCGCCACCACATCCCTGTGCCCTCTTAAGTCTCAGCCCCACAGGCCAAACCCCAGTTGCTCAGCCTCAAGGGAGCCTCTGTTCCTCCTCTTGTCTGCTGTGGACGCAGCCCATCGGCAGGTGGTCCAGGAGGAGGGCATCCTCCCATTGCCTAGCAACCGCGATGTGCATTTTCTCCCGCTGCTCTCGACCTGCTTGAAGCAAACAAGGAGGCTAGGAAGAGGAAAGGGGGAGTCAATCAAGGAGGGAACAAGTGAGATGGGAAGGGGGATATTGTGGTTTGGGTTAGAGGTACAAATTTTTTTGGGGTAGAGGGAGAGAGGGAGAAAGACAGATTATCTGCAGTATAGCTACACTGTGGTCTGTTCCATTTCCTCCAACATCCTACCAGTAAAAATAAGATCATATCTGTGGCATCCACCACCCCCCACTTAACATACCAAATATTTTGCAACACCCACACACAGATGTACACCCCCCCATTCAACATTGCCTGAAGGTCCCATTCTGTTTGCCCTGTGCTGCTTTTTGTTCTTTCCATGGTTAGAAGGGTTCTTTCAATCAAAAGAGATGCTTGGAAAATCACATCCCTGTAAGTTGCCTGCCTGTTGTTTTCAGAAAGCATCCACAGAGCAGAATCTCAAACAAACGGGTCCAAAGGTGGATCCAAAATGTCTGAGGAATGCATGTATCACCCCACCTCTGCCCACCCAGAGACTGCAGACGTCTGCTCCTTTCAGCCTGTGGCCTTGCCCGTCACTGGCTCTTCCCTGAAACTGAATTCAGCTCTTGAACTCTCCGCACCCACCTACCCTTAAAAAGGAAAGCTGCTTTTGTGAAATCTTGACCACTGCTTTATTGGGGGGGGCGGATTTGCTATTTTCTTTCTGCAAAGCTATGGAGCAACACACCAGGGTGAGAGCCACCTGCAAGAAAGCATGGGGGGGGGCCTGGAGAAATGCCCAAAGAAGCCCAGAAAAAGGAGTCTTCCTTGTCTTGGGACAAGTTAGAGACTGCTGGGAGGCCATTTGTAGTAGAGAAAGAAACTACACCTCCCAGAATCCCCTGGCCACCATAGTTGCTGATCCTCCTTGACCAGGGGATTCTGAAAGATAAACCATCCCCATCTATGAGTTGTGCAGAGTTCCAAGAAGTGTAGCCAATGTACTATGAAGTAGAAAGGAGTCTTCCTTGTCTTGGGACAAGGTAGAGACTGCTGGGAGGCCATTTGTAGTAGAGAAAGAAACTACACCTCCCAGAATCCCCTGGCCACCATAGTTGCTGATCCTCCTTGACCAGGGGATTCTGAAAGATAAACCATCCCCATCTATGAGTTGTGCAGAGTTCCAAGAAGTGTAGCCAATGTACTATGAAGTGTAATGCTTCAAAGGTCACATTCACACATGCATTGACATGGATATATATCAGCCCAGGCTATGACCCAAGTTTTTTTTTTTTGCTGCTTTTTTTTGGGTTGCTTTTTTTGGAAGGACAAAAGTGGTCTCTCTCCTCGGTCCGTGAGCCAAAGCCAGCCAGACCACCAGAAGGCTCTTACTTCAGATCTGCTGACGGAGCCATGTCCTCCCCTGGGCCCGAGGTCGGCAAGCTTGTTTAAAAGGTTGTAGCCGACGGTTCTCTTCTCCAGAGTGGTCTGAGTGTTGGGAGGAACAGCTGGGAGGCTTCTCCTGGTGCTGGGTACTTGCACTTAGCTAGCGGAAGGAAGCTTGCCGAACCACTTGATTTTAGGTAAAAATAGGAAACCTGCCTTCCTTGTTTCAGGAAATCGATTCAGAGATAAGGGCAGGAAAACGGTGCTCCAGGTTTTAGTTAGGGAAGTCCCTGGAGGTTGGCTTTCCAGCTGCGAGGACATGGTGGCGGCTGCCTCGTGTGGCTCCCTCTCTCTGGGAAGGATAACTGGTTTTCAGAGAAGTCGCTTTATTTGTCTGTTTCAGTGTGTATAACCAAAACGGACAGGTTCAAGAAAGACAGTTTTCTTTTACTGTGATCTTTTGTGGATTGCAGTCTGTGTCTCAGACACAGGAAATCCATTTGGGAATAGTGAAGGAGGCAGGAGTGCTAAACTTGGTGACAGAAGCCCCTAGAGCTAGCTTTCCCATAAGAGTGTATTGTTGGTAAGTGGGTGGGTGAGGAGGTGAATTGTAATCCATGAACTGTTCCTACATATAAATCTATTAATCCTCAGGGTGCCACTGGGTGTTATTTCTGTTTTTGTTTGTTTGTGTTTTTTGGTTTCTGTTTTTGTTATGCAAACCACCACGACTGACTTCCAAGAAGACAGGTACAGTATTGTGCGATTTACATGTCAATAAAAGGCCCTCCTAGAAAGAAAAGGCCAGATGATGCCCCCAAGCACCCGCTCACCTCTCTGCTAAACCCACTCCATGCACAGTTTATTCATCCCAGGGCCTTTTGATTCCAATCACTGTGGTCTCCATAATTCCAAAGGACAGTCTTTTAATTCCAGGAGTTGTATAAATCCACTGCTTTGTACATCAGTATAGAATTAACTGTGGAGCAGAATTCAGAAACGGTTCTCTTGGACTCTATAGAAGCTGGGAGTTTTACTCCAAAGCAGGAAAGTTTCTGCAGGGGAAATTACTCCTCTCTATATTTGGAGTCGCTGGATCCTTCAGAAAGTTGTGTTTGTATTTTGAGGGGAGGTGTATATTCTTTGGTTCCACATCTGTCTTCTACTGCGATGGAGGCCCAGATTCAGCCGTCTTCCTTGGCCATGAAAAAAAAATTAAGCCCCCCCTCCTTGCAACTGAGTTGTTCAGAAAGGTACTCCAGCTACCCCAGTCTTCCTTAACCCTCCCTCTATTTTCCTTTGCTAACTTGTCAGGTTTCATTGGAAGATTAATCATTCTTGCCATTTCCATTAAGCACCCCCCCTCCTGCTTGTTCCTTACTCTGGACAGGCCGTATTTCCAGCCCGAAAATAGCCACCAGCTTGGCTTCAGCCTTCCTGAAATATTTATTCCTCTGTCTTTCTCCTCCTGCTCCCTCCCATCCACGCCTGCCACAGCTCCGGCTCTTGTACCACTTTTTTCCTGTGCAGAAATGATGAAGCAGGAACTAATGGATGGTATTGATCCAGGCGGATCTGAGCCAGCCTGCAAAACGGCGGGGGGAGGGGCCAAGGGCTCTCCAGAGGCTCGTGCCTAGGACTGGTTCAGGGCAACTCTGCCACCTCGGGTCAAGGGCTACCCCCTTCCGTTCCAGGGCTGCCCTTTGAATCCCACCTGTCTCCTGTCCTCTTTTACATAGGAATGGGTCCCTTTTCCTGGAGGGCCATCCCGTCTGATTCTGAGAATCAGAGAGGAAGAATCAAAAGAACCAGAAGGATGGGTGTCGAGAAGCTGATCTTGAAGTTGTTCGAACGGCAAACACTCAGATGATCGGATGACTGTTTTCCCCAACCAAGTGAGATGAATTCTCTTTAAATGACAGACGTGATTTCTAGCTTTGTGCCTAGACACGTCAATAATCAGCCTACCGTATTTTTCCGTGTATAAAAATATACTTTTGTCTAAAATCTTTAGACTGAAAATTGAGGGTAGTCTTATACACAGAAGTAAGCTGAGGAGAGAACAAAAACAAGTGGAGGGGAAAGCAGGGATCAAAGCAATCCTGCAGCGCTTTGATCCCTTTCCTCCTACACTTGCTAAGCCCCACTTAGATTTCTTAATTTTGGATTAGAAAAGTGAGGGGGTCTTATACATGGGGGCATCTTATACACAGAAAAATATGGTACTGTACATAGTTTTATGCAAATCAGCATCTCCTTTGGCCTGTTTTGGGGTGATGGGAAAGTGGCCGGCTACATCAGCTCTGGCAGTAGCGTAAGGAAGCTGCCCTATCCTGAATCATGAAGTTAAAAAAAAGGGGGGGGGAGACTGTAATCCTAGGATGTAGAAAATATGGTGCTCTCAACCGGTGCTGCAGCAGGAGCCTCACAGTGCAGTGGTTAACCTGCAGCCAAAACTCTGTTCATCATCTAGGTTCAATCACTGGCAGCCGGCTCAAAGTTCACTCAGCCTTCCATCCTTCTGAGTTTGGTGAATTGAGTACCCAGTTTGTTGGAGGGTGGGGGGGTCGGATGTGTAACCTTCATTAATGTGTAGCCTATATAATGAAATTGTAAACCGCCCAGAGAGAGCTTTAAGTGCTATGGGGTGGTATATAAGCAGCACACTTTACTTTTTGTTAGTTGGTCAGTTGGTTTGCTTTTCTCTTTATTCCAGTATAGAATGTCCAACGTGTTTCGGCCTACCAGCCCTCTTCAGGGGCATTACAACAGAAAAAGAATTATATTTAATATGACATTTTCCCCAGTAAATTATAATGTTAAAAACCTACAACAACCAATGTTATAATTGTAATTCGTTTTATGTTATATCGCCTCTGAAGAAAGCTGATAGGTCAACTGATAGTGTCTATATCATGGGATTATTACGGTTTCCCCCTTTTTTGACCTAATCTTTCCGTGGATGTATCAGTTCCTTTTATTATTTCCTGTCCTGAATCCGGCTATTGGTTTTTCTGATGGGGTTGCCAGCTCTCGGGGCATCAGGACATTGCAATGCTTTTTGGGTTCTTTAGACAGGGGAAGCAAATCTCAGGAGGAGAAAGCTTTATTTCTGCAGACAAGGTGTTTCAAACCTGAGCATCCATTCCTAGTGGCGGCGGGGCTTACTCGCTCAGCCCAGCTTATTTGGGTCTTGCATATATGCAACATCACACCCTGTCAAAAAGCTGGTGGGTTTTTGCAAGTGGAAAACCGGCTGCCCGGTTGCAGAAGCCTGAGCAACACCGACCCAGAGTCTGGAGGAAAAGCTCTGGTTCACCTGGGAAGCAGCAGCATACCTGAACTGGAGATTTTCGGGATGCTGAGGCTGTGCTGTAGCCGAGTCACATGGGCCATTTCCTGGAAGCATGGTGAAGCTGCTTCCCATCATAAAGCCCACGGTTCCCCCAGCCCCATTCTCATCTATTCTGCAGAGCGGCGCCCACCAGGATCTCCCCCAGTCCTGCTGAGCTGGAGATATTTCCTGAAAGTGTGGTTTATTTGTAATGAACCAGAGAAGTCTGGTGCTTCTCGTTTGCGGCTGATGTTTGAAGTAAGAGAATTTAAAGAAAGGTTTGGACGCAAAGGCAGGTAAATCCCATATGGCACTAGCACCAAGCAACAGAAAGGAAGGTGGGGAACGAAAGTCTTCCCATCATGTTGTTGTTGTTTAGTCGTTAAGTCGTGTCCGACTCTTCGTGACCCCATGGACCAGAGCATGCCAGGCCCTCCTGTCTTCCACTGCTCCCCAGAGTTGGGTCAAATTCATGTTGGTCGCTTCGATGACACTGTCCAACCATCTCAATGCCACTTCCATCTGTAATAAACCAATTAAAAAAACTCACCAATCCCGTATCCATCACCGGAGGTGGCCTCCATGCTGTCTGTTGTGGAGACAAACTTCACCGCAAATTATCTGCAGTACACAGATATAGCAAACTGATGCCACTGGAATTGTGTAAGTACAACAGCTACGGAGTCCGGGGCTTTGTAATTTGGTGAGAGTGTCAGATCGCTTTACTAAAATTCCTCCATCTTGTAGTTTTGAAGAATGAGCCAGATTCCGGATGGCACCTACATGGTAAATCACATGTGCACCCCCAGAATCGCCAGGAAACAGAATATCTTTTTCTCTCTCTATCACATGTCAACTTTCTATGTATAGTGGAAACATCTTTGTGATGGTAGAAGTGCATGTGATCCAAGCATTCACAAGCGTCTTCATATTAACCTTCTGATTTAACTTCTTTTGCACTGTTTTAAAGGGTTTTATTTATTCAAAACAAAAATGTATAAGAAAAAACAAAGACAATGTAGAATATGCACACTGTAATATTGACAAAACAATGATACGTACATTTCCTTATTTGCCCTCCTCTCCCCTCAAATTACATTTATTTACATAGGCGGGGCCTTCCTTAATTTTTAACAGCTGTGCTGCTACCCAAAAGAAACAGAAAAAAAACCTGCCTGTTTTTAGTCTGAATCCTCCTCTGTTGACTCAGATGACTTGTGAGGACTTTTCCCAAGTTAGTTTTAGAACTGGAAGTCTCTGAAACATTCAACTGGCATGCTGGCTGGGAGAGGGTGGATGCTTTGGAAAGTAACTTTTCCAAGCTCTCCCTGCTGCAGACTTGTTCCAGGAATTCTCAGCATTGGATCCGTCGTGTTGCTTTCTGGAATTGAACTGGACACTATAGAACTACTTGTAAGGAAGTGCCACCTCTTTAAGGGTTAAAAGCCATAAAGCTGATCTGCTCTCCTGTAGCTTGTAAATTAGCTTGCTCCTGTTTTGTGATTGGCTGTCAGGAGTTCAGCACCCGCTTAATTTGCATTCTGACGGCTTGAACAGGATGCTTCTGAAGCAGAGAGATCTTTTCTTCCTTTCTGAATGGGGACCATTGGAAAGCCGTTAATTTCAGCATGCAACCAAAAATATTTTCTCTAGGGAGGGGAAATCCCATACCAGAAATACCCTCCCTGTATGATCAGTGATGTGGTAGTAAATTCTGAGTGCAGGTGCACAGTTATGTTTTTCCCAGAGGGAGTTGTAGTCTAAAAAACATAACCCCCTTATGCACTAATTCACTTATCTGCAGTCTGAAAATATTAAAAAGATGAAAAGAAAAATCCTAGAAATATATATTTCTAAAGATGAAGTTACCAGAACTGGCCACGAGAGGGAGCCAGAGATCATGCTATATATATAGTATTTATTGTTAAAATAGGTTTTGCTATAATCCGCATTTTTCAGCATCTGCAGGGGGTGGCTTGGAACTGATCTTCTGTGGATACAGGGTATCCCAAGTCGTATCTTTGCCTTTGCTGTTCCATTTCATTTCCAGCTGGTCTCTGCCCAGCTTCATTTCTCCTTCCTCATCTCCATTATTCTCCTCTAAAATCCATCAATCCAACAAAAGAGGATTTGTGGTTGGAAACAGTTGCTTCCTTTTTAAAACTGAATCAAAAATCTGTCTCTCTATGAAAGGGAAGGCCAAGACCAACCTGTTTCACCTGGGGGAGGCTCAGTCTGCCCCAGTTACTGGGGAAAAGTTACTTTCCGCGATAACCATGCCAAGAAGCTCGCGTTGCTACCATCATGGCTGGGGGTGTTCTGAGAAACAATCATTTTACCAGTTCCTGGCTTCAGACCCCTCCTGCTCAGTTTCCTTCTTGGCCTCCGTTTCCCATCATCCCCAACCAGGTATCGCAAATGGATGGCAGATAATGGGAGCAACGGTTTGTAAATGTCTGAAAGGCTGCAGGTGGTTTCAGCCCTGTGCACTGAGGATGTTTTCAGCCAGAGGACGGTTGTTGTAAAGAAGGACGCGTGGCTAACAGAGACTAGATACTGCTTCCTGACGTGAGAAATAGCTACCAACGCAATGAGACCTTTTTTAAATAAATGCAAATATGTCATCAGGTGTCTCCACCGCCCCAGTTTCTTAGCACTTGAGCAATCTGGAGCATTTCTTGGAATGTTACCATTTAAAAGGAACTTAATGACATTACTCATTCTCTATAGCCAGGATCATGATTCCCGTTCCCATTCCCCAAGTAGTTTGTTACATTGTGGTTTCTCTTTGCATTTTGTTGCCATTATCCACTTGATAGGAAAATACAGAGAAATACAGTACTCTTTGGTTTCCCCCTAGCGGCCAATTCTGATAGTGCACCTTGGAAAAAATTATAAAAAGACAAAACCAAAGACCGTTTCCCTCGTCAGTTATGATTTATAACAGAATAGGGTGAAACCTGAATTAAACCTGTGTGAAAATGCCTTTGAAAGTAACTTTTGAAATTGACTACATGTTCCTTGTTATATGTCAGCAACTTGGGCGTTACTCTTTATACCTACAATTACTTTGCGATTAATTTCTTCATTTGTTACAAAAAGGAACTAATTATGGCTAACTATGTGACTTATAACTAATTACTTCCATGCTCTGATCTGGAGAAATTATTTGTTCCTGCCAAGATAAGAAGACAATAGAAGGGAATTGTGTTGGGTTCCTGGCCACCCCTGTTCTTTGGAGTCCATGGCTGGTCTTAGCAGATGGGTGATGACAGTCTCATTAAGCCAGCAGGACTGGAGCGGGACTCTGGATCTGGTGTACACACAACTATATACATGCACACAAGAGACCAAGGTGGGTGCAGCTGTCCTCGTTCCCAAGACCTGTCCGCCACAATGGTTCCGTTCCAGTCAAAAAGTTTTGGACACACTCCGAGGAAGCTCAGCCTCTCACAGCTAGTTCTGGCCTGTGGGAAGAAAAGAAAAAAAGCAAGAAGCAGGTGTAGCAACTCAAGAGTCCAGCATGGCAGGGTCCAATCCTAAAATTACTCAAGAAACAGTGTGTTTTCAATTAATTAAATAAATACATTTTAATGGATGCATGACAAAGAGAAAGGTGCCCACCATTAAGCCCAGCTCAGCCTACAACGTTCAATATTTGTGGCTGAGACAGCTGGCCTTATGGTTAGGGACAGTGAGGCCTTAGATGGCAGATTTTTGCAGGGGTTAGAAGAGGAGATGCCCCCCCTATCCTTCTTCTGAGGCCCTTTATAGGAGAACAGAGCTGTGTGCAGAACTCATAGGTTTTGTACTCTTCCCCCTAACCCCTTCAAGAAAGGCAGAAGGCCATACACGGGTGGGTTGGGGCCTGTGTGGCTACTGGAGACATGCCACATAGGGAGGCAGGAGGGCTCTTTGCAACCAACCTCCGGATCTCAAAATACCCCAAAGCTGCCCTTTTGGAAAACTGGAAGTGACCTCCTGTACCCTTCTGGTTTGGCAGTGGAGGTGGGTGGGGGCAACTGGGCCAGGATGTTCACAGGAGGAGAATGTGGGGCAGGTTTGTTTTTTTCCTGACCCCTTGCAGTCGTCTGCTCCTGCCCTGTCCCTCTTGCAGAGCCGGAAAGAAGACCCGGCTGCCAATTTAGCTGGTTTCTGTACGTGGCATTGAAGGAGACGCTGTCTGGTCCTTGATGTCTGGCAGCAGAATGTTAAGGACTGGCCCCATCCAGTCCAGGTTCCTACAAGGAATCTAGCAAGATGCGTTATACTCATTAGCAGATCCTCATTTATAACAGGAGTAGGCCATGCCCCCCCCAACGTCTACCTCTGTAATTGTAAAAATCCCCTTGTGCCCGCTAGGAGGCATAGGGTGATTCTGCCATGTTCTGAGGGCCTCCCAGGACCCCTGGGCTCCAGATGTAAACTTTAAATGTGTGTGTGTGTGTATGTGTGTGCTTTCCTGGACCTAGAGACAGTCAGGTGTTACAGCCTCGGGACCTCTGAAGACTGCCTGCCGCTGGCTGGTCATAATGAAGACCAGAAGCTTGAGGTGCGAGAAAAGAACCTGGAGGGAGCAGGATTCTGCCAGTGGTACCCCTCTCTTGTGTCCTTTCATGAGCCTGCACAGAACCCCTAAGGAGGCCACCCACGTGGACCTCACCTTCCGGCACATCATAGCAAGTGGCAGAGTGCGCCCGCGTCTTCCGAGTGGTCACAGTTGTGGACATTCCAGCGGATGTGGGAGCAACGCAGAAGGGAGGACTCGTCTCCTTTGCACTTCAGATTGTCGAGGAAAATGTAGCCTGCGCCAGGGCCATACCGGGCCTCTCCCGAGGCGGCTAAAGCCCGTCCACAGCCAAGTTGCTGGCACACCACTTTCACGTCCTTGATGTCCCAGGCGTCATCGCACACCGTCCCCCACTGAGAAAGGTAGAACAACTCCACCCGACCTTCGCAGCGGTGACTCCCGTTGACCAGCCGCAGGAAGCCTGCAAAAAGACGGTGCATGGCGGAGTCACGATGATGAGCGAGGGGAGGTTCGCTTTCCCCATCTGCCCTCCTCAAACCGATGACGGGATTTTCAGCAAAAGGGGGTCGACAAAGGATACAGCTTGGAAAACTTGCATTTTTTAAAAAAATGATAACCTCTAGAACTCCCTCCAGCCAAGTATGGTCACTGAAGTGAACTGCCAAAACTTTGGACTGATCAACCTACGACTCCCTATCTGAGCAGAGAGGGGTGTCCTTCTCCCATCTCTCCGTGTATTCCATCACCTCCAATAGAGAAATAGTTTCACGTTGATTTCTTACACGGGCATGGCAAACCATAGTTTGTGTCAACCGTGGTTTGGTGGGGATTAAGCCAGAAATTATACAGCATATCACCAAACCATGGGCTGCCTTCACTGTTTTTCGTCTCTTTCTTGTTTGCCCTTTCCCTCATCTTTCCATTTGGGATAGGCAGGCAGGGGAACAAGCCAGGGACAAGCCATGATTGTCAGTTCAGGCATCACAACAAGCCATGGTTTAAACAAGTCAGAGTTCTTCCATCAAACAACAGCTCACTGTGCTCATATGGCAGTTTGCAGCTGATGGACAAACCATGGCCTGTGTACAGGAATGGATTCGCACACTGCGACATGTTTGGTTTAAATGAAGCACACCATGGTTTGCCATGATGTGTGAACATGATTCGAGGGGATGGGAATTTAATCATTTTCATTCCCAGCTGGAGAAAGGGAAAGAAGTGTTCGATATGTACAGCATTAAGGCCGCCCAGTCAGGAGGTGAACGTGCAGCAAAGATGCAAACACTATCTTACGGGCATTTGGGCCAACCTGTAAGGGTCAATATCCTGCCCCTGAGACAGAGCCAAAGATCATCACACACTCAAAAAAGCAAACTAACCAAAAAAAAACAGAAGTTGTTGGAAGTTAATATCAGTATGTTTTTTTTAATGAATCTGACGTGGGAATCTGGAGGCCAAACGGGAGTTCACACCTCTTTCTGCCTTGAAGCTGGCCTGGTGTAACAGAGTGTTAGAGGAGGAGCCAGCTGACCCGGGTTCAAATCCCTGCTCAGCCCACGGCAGTTCACCGGGGTCACCCTGGGCCACCCGCAGAGTCTCCTCCTGGCCTATTGCCTAGGATTGTCTTGAGGATACAGCGGGGAGAAACGTCGCTCTCCAAGCCACCTTGATTTCACCGAATCGTTGCAACAAATAAATAAAAAACAACAGCAAAGTCTGTCCTGTGAGGCAGAGGTGTAACGAAGGGAGGGATGGCTGCAATGTTGACCCCGGGTTTCTAAATTTAGAAGGTGCTCCCTCTGCCTGCTTGCCTTAACCAGAGACAGCAGAACAGGACCTGCTGGGGGGGGGGGTGGAGGCAGGTTGCACCCGATGGTGTGCTCCGTCTACACACCACTTGTCCCAGGAGCCAAAATGGCTACTTAACAGCTTGGCTCGGTGGCCACCTAGAGTCACCCCCCCTCGCCCTGTACCTACTAAAAGTTTTGGGGAACCTCCACGGGGAGCCCCCGACCCAGCATGCCACCTACCATCCTTGGGCCGCGTGGTGGTTGGGGTCATCGTGGCAAAGCTGTCCTCCGGGAAGGCTTCTCCTCTTTCGCCTGCACCTGAGCAGAGAAGAAGAAAGGGGGGACGCGTTGAGTAGCGAAAGGAGATGTCTGGAAAGGGACCCCTAACAAGCCCCTCTCAAAAACACACGCAGCATGAATACTGTATATAAACCGGTGAGCCAGAAATATATTTATTTATTTAAAATATTTTTACCCCACCTTTCTCTTTAAAAAGAACCAAGATAGCTCATTCCATGCATCCAAACATATAGTTTCCTGTAGATTCTATATATGAAAATTAACCTGGCAATACATTTATCTGTCTTAAAGATGCCAAAAGTCTCTCTCTCTCTCTCTCTCTCGATTTATCTGTCTTAAAGATGCCAAAAGACTCTTTCTCTCTCTCTCTCTCTCTCTCTCTCTGTTTGTTCCTTTTGTTATTTAAGGTCAGTTACATTTTCGTTTTAAAATTACAAGCACAGCAAAACACTACCCACATTTCAGGGCCTTGTCTTGAGAAAGTCTGGAATCAACACATCAGAATACTGTAACTGGATTTTCATACGCTGTTTAAAAATACACCCAACAATATTTTGCATCTCAGGCTTTCGAAAATGTCCCAAGCCACTGTGGTGCGGCCGCGGAGGGCTGGATTAGGACCTGGGAAATCCAGTTTCTCATGTCCACCTGCCCGGAAACCCTGAAACTGACTGATTAAAAGCAAGACTTATTTCGCTTCTTCTTAGGGAACCTAGCTAGATTTAAAATGGGCCAAGAAAAAAAAAGTATTATGCTGAACCAGGCTGAAATTGGTTCCCTCTTTGAGAACTGCAGGATATCAACAAAATTATGAAAAGCGTAAGAGAGACAAAATGCACACTCACTCTACACAGCAGTGAGTGGGTGTGCAAGCAGATGGTCTCTCTGTGTGTGTGTGTGTGTGTGTGTGTGTGTGTGTGAGAGAGAGAGAGAGAATGAGAGAGAGAGAGAGAGATCACCCACCCACCCCCATCGTCAGCCCTCTCTTTCCTGCTGATCAGAAGACACCCACCTACCCCCATCTTCAGCCCTCTCTTTCCTGCTGATCAGAAGATGGATAGTGGGTGGAGGTGCTGATAGGGAGGATGAATGAGGGAATGAGGGCAAAGTCTCACATCAAAGCTTAGAAAGTTACTTTCAAAAAGCAGTTACTTAACAGTTACACATACAACCTCCCCCAAGTAGTTTGTTACCATTATAGTTAATGGAGGGATAATATTTTGTTTTCTCATTATTCAAAAGAAACTGGATTTGTTAACTTGCTATGGGAACACAAGGCCTTACATTTCCTACAAAAGTAACTACAAAACACTACAGTTACATACTCAAAGGAATGATATTATTCCCCATGACAATGCAATAATATTTGTGAATTCTTGGGTGCACCTAGCCTATATAGCCATGGCCACTTGACACCACTTAAAGAGTTAATGCTCCCTCCTATGGAATCCTGGGCTTTGTAGTTTAGAGAGAGACACAAAATGATACCCTGTAGGTCAGTAGAATGTCCACGGAGCTCTTAGCAGATAGGTCCCTCACCAAACCACAGAGCCAAAGATTCCCTAGGACATAGCCACCCCAGTTAAAGTTGTACAAAAGTGCTGTGGTAGCACAGTGGAAAGTTCCTTGATTTGATCTTATACAGTTCAGACCAAAACCCAGAATGGATTTGTCACTCCCAGCTTCTGTTTAATAACCTCTGACAAAGGAGGGCCCACCATCTTCTAAGGCAGTCCATTTCACTGTCGAAAAACTCATACTGTCAGGAAGGTCTTCCTAATGTTGAATGGGAACTTCCTTGCTTATGCTGTAGTTTGAATCCATAGTATGGATTCCATCTGTTCAAGCAGCTGAAAGCAAGGAGGCGATTCACAACTATTTCTGCTCTCCACCTTCCACATGAGAAAAACAGGGTCTTCAGCTGTTTGAAGATGGACAATATTGACTTATCATGCATTCCAAATAAGTCAATATTAGCAGTATTACCTTTTTATAAGGTAAATTGGTTCACCATACTGCAGTTTGGGTGACCTAGGGAAAGATGGAGGCTAAGAGTGGAGGGCTCATATAATGCTGCCTGAAGAATTTGTCACAGAAGTGAGATTCAGACCGAGGACTTCCTGATTTGCAGATCAGGCACAAATGAGAAGGAGCTCGCTTAACCACTCTGAACACACACAGTTTCTGAAGATGACGTTGGGTTGAGTGTGGTTAATATTTGAATCAGAGATACCAGGGAATAACTAAGTGATGTGTTGGGAAGAGATTGTAGCCATGGACCTTGGCGAGTCCAGTTTTGCATGGATATTGAGTCTGCTTCTGATTTTAGTCTGAACTTTACAAGGATTCTCCAAGAGGTAAGAGGCAACTACTATGCCTGCCTAAGTGTGATGACTTTCCCCTTCTCTTCTGTGACTTTTCTGAATTACAAATAAAGCACTTCATTATGTGGAAACCGTGGGATCTGTGGGATGAAAGGAGGATGTCTTTCATTACTGAAGATTGCAGATAGTATTTGGGCAGTGGTGTTTTTTTGCTCTACAAGCCCCATAATTTCCCATTCTGGGAATTCTACCTGACTTACACATGCTTTACAGATATCTAAATGTGGCTCATCTGAGAGTAAAGGCTTTGAGGCTGAACTAGGCCTAGTTCCACCGAACTTCCTGATCAGAATTAAAGTTCCCAGCTAGCACTGAGGCAGAAACAGGAAACTCGGGTGGAGCTAGGCTTAGCTAAGTTCAAGGCGTTCCAAGTGAAGCATTTTCTCCCTTGTGAGCCACATTTAGGTGTTGGTAAAGCATGGGTGAGCCAGGTAGAAATTCCAGAGTGGGGAATCATGGGATTAGAAGTCCAAGAAATGTCATCTCTACCAAAGATCTCCCCCTACTTATCTGGTGTTGGTTTTCTCTAAAGAAAGATTTCCTCCTTCCACCCTGTGGCTTCCACGCAATGGAACGGAGAGTTCACAGGTTGAGAAAGTGATGAGAACGAAGGGGGAAGTCTTTAATTGCTGAAAATCTCCCCCTGCCATCCGCGTGTGTGTAGTTAGGCTAACAGGATTTGCCCCAGAACGCTCTGGATTCATGCCCCAGCATGTCCAGGTAGGGCTAAGAAAGCCGGTTTCTGCATCTCGGCATCCCCGGGAAAGCGAATCAGTCTCTCGCAGTGCGCATCTCACCTCGGCAGATGACCCCGGCATCTTCGTGGTGGCCGCAGTTGTGTTGCCCCCACCCTAGGTTAAAGCAGTCGGCCAAATCCGCCTCCACGCCGGTGCAGTCCACGTTATCCAGGAGAATGGGGCCAGTGCCATAGCCAAAGTATCCCAAGACGGTGGCCACCACTGCCGAGCCGCAACCCACCTGCCGGCAGACTACCTGGGCATTGGGGAAATCCCAGTCATCGTCACAGACGGTCCCCCAGCTGTCCCCATAGAGGACTTCCACCCGGCCTTGGCAGCTGCTGTTTCCGTTTGCCAGCCTGATGCCACCACCTGCTGGTCAGACGGGGGAAAGGCACAGAAATCGATTTCTTTAAAGTAAAGAAATCGCAAAACACTGATCCTTGTCAAACCGTTATCACACATCTTTTATGTTGGTGCAGAGTTTTCTCCAGCTATTCCTCCAGCAAAAAAAAAAAAAAAATCTGGATAGCAGAGGTGGCCCTTTTCCAAACCGCAATAACATGAAGGAGGTCAGGAAGAAAGAGGGAGGCTGCAAAGAAGGATGGGGTGGAGGGAGAAAAACTTCCTCAAGGTCACCTGGATGACTCAAGGCCTGGACGGGTGCTCTGACCACTACACCACATTCTTTCTCTTAACTCTGGAACATTGGGATTATTCCACTCCCTGTTTGTTCTTGAAAACAGTGGCAAAAGCTCTGAAGGAAACATCCTATGCTTGGATTTTCATCCATCCCGAATTTTCATGGCATGAAAAGTTAACTTGAAATATGGTTCTTTGGACGTTGTGGCAGAGGCCTGAGGATCAAGGTCACCCGGTTTGAAGGAGATCGTTATCAAACAGTTCCCCAAATTCCTCAAGGCAGCTCAACATTCATCTTATCTCACATTGTACACCCCCTCCTTTCCCCCCTCTCACATTCAGCAACTTTTCCACCTTTCCAAAACCCTGGTTTATTTTTGGTTCGACTTGGTAGCAGGAGGGGGGAAAGTTTAGCCTTGTGGCGATTCGGAAGCATCTAATGCACAATGATTCTGACTGTTGGCGTTCTTAGTGGCTTTCAATTTTGGGAGCTGTGCGAAGGCCGAAAGCGTGAATTTCTTACACTTCTAGTTTTTTTTCATATCAGCTGCACTATGACCTTTACCAGAGTTTAGAAAAAGAACTGGCTGCTGGTCGGGCCAGCAAGTGGATTCTCGAAAATGCTGTCCAAAAACAGAGTAAATTTTCTAAGATGCCTTCTACGTCGTGAAGCACGCACACAGACAACTTGCCATCACAAGGAACACCTCCCAGAGATGGAAAAGATCACTCTTTCAAACTCTGTTTATTATTATTA